GGGCCACCGGGCCCCATCGTAAGTACCCGCGCTGGGGCCGGGGGGGGGGGTGCTGGGTTGTGCCAGCACCGCGTCGCAGCGCCGGGGGGGGGGCCCAGCGCCCCGCCACGAGGCCCCGGTGATGGGCAGAGGTGGAGGAACATCGCAGCCGCCCCCCCCGTGGGGCTGGAGATGGAGACGAGGGCGCTGCCAGCGCGGCACGGAGCAGGGACCCCATCCGGATGGGGCCGAGGTGGCCCCCAGCGGGGGGGGGTGCTCCGCGGCACCCCAAGGGCTCAGAGCCTTGGCCCCGGTGGGCGGGGGGGGGGACGTTTCGAGGCCGTGACGTCCCTGTTTCTCCCCTCAGGGCCCCCCAGGCTTCCCTGGAACGCAGGGCGCACCCGGACTGCCCGTAAGGACCAGCACGGCCCCGCTCTGTGCCGTCTGTCGCTGCCGCTTGGTTTTTGGCTGTGCCCCCCCCTGTGTCCGTGTGTCCCCCCCCCATACCCCCCAAAGCCCCACGGCACCGGGCAGCGACCCCCCCGGGAGCAACCTCCCCCAGCTCTGCTCCCCCCCCATGTCCATTTTTTTTCACCTCATCTCCATCCCGTGCTTTCCATCCCCATCGGGGGGCTCCCGGGGGGCTCAGGCTCAGGAAGGGGCACCCCGAATTTGGCAACTTGCCCCCCCCCCCCCTGTGCTGGATCCCTCACCGGCACGGCACAGCTCCCCCAGGAGGGCTGGGTGCCCCCCCCCAGGCACCCTGATGTTGCCCCCAACCCTCCTGGGGGCACGGGGGGGGCTCCTCCTCACGCCCCCCCCTCCCCGGTGCCTGACTCCCCCAGGAGCAGCCTCCATCCATCTCCATCATCTTCATCATCTCCATCCTCATCCTCACCCTTCCTCCCGGTGGTGGTGGGGGGGAGCAGCGGCTGTCCCGTGGTGGTGGCTCCGTGCGGATCCTGTCCTGCTGCTGTCCCCTCGCCCCCCCCCCCCCTTAATGTCACCGTAACAGCTCCAGTCCGGGGGGGGGCTCTCCGGGGGTCTCTCTGTGGTCGTCGCTCTGCGGTGTCAGCCTGTCCTGTCCAGCCTCCAGCACCTCGGCACCACGTAACCCCCCCACTAACCCCCCCCCCCCCGGTGTGCCACCGAGCCTGGGGGCTCCTGGCTGTCACCCGTGTCACCTGTGTCACCCTGTGTCTTGTGTGGGTGCCCCCCCATGGGCTGAAGGTGCCCTGGGCACTGGTGGGTGCTGGTAGGGGGGCACCCGTGCGCAGCCCCCCCCACCCCTGCAGGGCTCTTTGCAGCCCCCGGGGGTCCTGGGGTGTGTGCAGAGGGCAGGGCAGGGGGCAGGTCGCAGCCCCCGGGGGGGCTCCAGGAAGGGTCCATGGGAGCCCCCCCCCCAGAACCTCTCCTCTTCCCCTCCAAGGGTCTCCAAGGGGAACGCGGCCCCGCAGGGCTGGCCGGAGCCAAAGGGGAGCCGGTGAGTGGGGGCACCCCGGGGTGGGGGGTCAGGGGGAGTCGGAGGGGGGGCAGGGTACCCCCTGCGGGCTCTGGGTGCTCGCCTGGGGGGGTCGCAGGAGGCTCAGCTCCATCCTCCCCCCACAGGGACCTCCAGGGCAGCCTGGCTACCCCGGTGCCACGGGCCCCCCCGGCCTGCCCGTGAGTACTGCCAGCCCCCCTGCCCCCCCCATGTCCCCTCTGCCCCCCCGTGTCCCCTCTGCCCCCCCCATGTCCCCTCTGCCCCCCCATGTCCCCCCGTGTCCCCGCATTCCCCCTCTATCCCCCCGTGCCCCCCCATACCCCATGCGCACCCCATATCCCCCCCCGTCCCACACGGGACCCCCCATTTCCTTCCCCCCCCCAGGGCATCAAAGGCGAGCGAGGCTACGTGGGCCCCCCCGGGGAGAAAGGGGAACCGGTGAGTGGGGGCCGTGCCCCCAGCATGGGGCAGTGGGGCCAGGGACTCCCCCCAAGTGCCCCCTCTCCGCGGGCACAGGGCTGGGGTCCCTGCAGCCACCCCCCCTCTGAGACCTCCCCTCTTTTTTTTTTCCAGGGCCCCCCCGGCTTGGACGGCCTCCCTGGTGCTGTAGGGCCAGCGGTAGGTGTGGGGATGCGGGGAGGGATGTGGGGGGGGCACAGTTTTGGCCCTGGGGACCCCAAATTTTGGCTATGGGGCTCACGTCCCCAACTCTCCCGCAGGGACCGAGGGGCGAGCGGGGGCTCCCCGGCAGCTCCGGCGAGAAGGGCGACCAGGTGAGCGTCCCCCAGGGACCCCAACCCCACAACCCCAACCCTACAACCCCGTCCCTACAGCCTCGTCCCCCCCCAGCCTCATCCCTGGCTCCCCCCGGGGTGCCCTGGGACCCCCGGCTGTGGGGCAGGGCGCGCTCAGACCCCTCTCTTCAGTAGGGTTTCCAGGGCCAGCCCGGCTTCCCGGGGCCACCCGTAAGTCCGTCCTATAGGGCTGGGGGGGGGCGCAGAGTGGGGTGACCCCAAGACACCGTGCTGGGGCCGTCGGTGCCCCCATGGGGTCGGGGGGCTGAGCTGGGGAGGGCTCCAGGGGGGCAGTGCCACGGGATGGGGTGCGGGGGGCAACCCCGATGGAATGGGTTTGGGGTCGGAGGGGGGCACGAGGGGGGGGGTTTATCTGCCCTATATGACCACGGCTCCTCTCCTCAGGGCCCCCCCGGCTTCCCGGGGAAGGTCGGCCCCGCCGGACCCCCGGGACCCGCGGCCGAAAAGGTGAGCGCAGGGGGAGGGGGGCGGCGGTGGCACCATGGGGTCACCCTGAGTCACCCCTGACCCTGACCCTGACCTTGACCTTGACCTTGACCCTGACCCCCCCCCACAGGGCAGTGAGGGCATGCGCGGACCCACGGGCATGCCGGGCCCCCCCGGCCCCCCCGGTCCCCCGGGCATCCAGGTAAGGGCTCCCCGCCCAGGGGTGTCTCCAACACAGGAGCGCTGGGTTGTCCCCAAGAACTGGGGTGGGGTGTCCCCAGCATGGGGTGTCCCCACTGGGGTGTCCCCAAGCCAGGGTGTCCCCAGACTGGGATGTCCATGAGCACTGGGGTGTCCCCAAGCACCAGGGTGTCCCCGAGCACTGGGATGTCCCCAAGAACTGGGGTGTCCCTGACATCGTGATGTCCTCAAGCACCGGGTGGTCCCCAGGCATTGGAGTGTCCCCAACACTGGGAAGTCTCCAAGCACCAGGGTGTCCCCAGACTCCAGGGTGTCCCCAGGCACAGGGGGTGTCCCCAAACACCCCCCGTGCCAGGGCCTCACCCTCCTCCCCTCTCCCCCAGGAGAACCGGGCGCCAAAGGAGAGAAAGGGGAGAAAGGCGTGGGGATGCTGGGGGACAGCGGCCCGCCAGGACCCCCAGGTGAGCCCTCCACCGCCCCCACCCGGCTGCTGGGCACCGCCTGCCCCGTGCCACCTTCCTCCACCTCTCTTTCCCCCCGCAGGCCCCCAGGGACCACCGGGCTACGGGAAGATGGGTCCGCCGGGCCCCGTGGGCCAGCAGGGCATCCCCGGTATCCCCGGCCCCCCGGGGGCTACGGGACCACCGGGCAAAACCGGGCACTGCAGCCCCGCCGAGTGCATGGGCGCCCTGCCCGTGGAGCAGCCCCTTTTCCAACCCAAAAATGCCAAGGGTCCCTTCGGCTGAGCCGGTGCCGGGCGCTGCTGGATTTATTCTTGCCCCCGTTTTCCAGGGGGCTGCGGCGCTCCCCGGGGGGCTCGGGGGGCTCAGGGGGCTGTGGGGTGGCTGTGGGGTGGCTGTGGGGTGGCTGTGGGGCGGGTGGATCCTGCCCGGATGAAATACAGCCGAGTGCTGCCCCACGCGTGGCTCCTCTCGTGGTGTGTCTGCTGTGTCCCCGTGTCCCTGTGTCCCCGTCCCCGTGTCCCCATCCATGTCCTTGTCCCCATTCCTGTCCCCATCCCTGTGCATGGGGCTGAGGCCAGAGCCCGCTCTCCCGTCCTGATGGTGGTGGTGGTGGGGATGGTGGTGATGATGGGAATGGTGGTGGTGTTGGGGGTGGTGGTGATAATGGTGGTGGTGGTGGTGGTGGTGGTGGGGGGTGGTGATGATGGTGATGATGGTGATGGCGATGGGGGTGGTGGGTGGGTGGTGACGATGGGGATGGTGGTGGTGATGATGATGATGGTGATGATGGTGGTGATGTCAATGGGGATGGTGATGATGATGGTGATGGTGGTGACGATGACGATGTCAATGACGGAGTGGTGATGATGGTGGTGGTGATGGTGGTGGGGGCTGGTGATGATGGGATGATGGTAGTGGTGATGATGATGATGGGGACGATGGTGATGATGGTGGTTACAGTGGTGGGGGGCTGGTGATGATGTGGATGATGGTGGTGATGATGATGGCATGATGGGGATGATGATGGTGGTGGTGATGGGGGGGGGGGACTGGTGATGGTGTGGATAATGGTGATGGTGATGATGATGATGGGGATGGTGGTGGTAATGGGGATGTCGATGATGATGATGGTGGTGGTGGAGGTGGTGATGATGGTGGTGGTGATGATGATGATGATGGGGATGTCAACGATATCGATGGTGATGATGGTGATGATGATGATGGGCTGTTGATCAGGGTGCTGGTGATGATGATGGGGAAGGTGGTGATGATGATGTCAATGATATTGAAGATGATGATGATGAAAGATGATGATGATGATGGGGATGGTGGGATGGTGATGGTGATGGGGATGTTGATGATGATGATGATGATGATGGTGGTGATGATGGTGATGATGATCCTGGGCCTGACATGCAGGTACGGTGGGGACCCTGGGCTGCTGTAGGCCCTGGGAGGACCCCGTGGGACCCCGACCCCGACCCCGACCCCGACCCCGACCCCGACCCCGACCCCGACCCCGACCCCGACCCCGACCCCGGAGGCCTCCCTCTCCTGTGGGCCCCACTCCCCTCCCCATCACCATCGCCGCTTTAAGCCCGAGGAGGCCCCGCCCACACCCGGAGCGGGGGCGGGACCTGGCGGGGCTCAACCGCGCGGTGCAACCAATGGGAGGGCGGGACGCTCGTGACGTCAGAAGGCGGAAGTGGGGCACTGTCAGTGGCGGCGGCGACGGCGGTGGCGGAATCATGGCGGCGTTTCCGGGACAGGTGGGGGGGGGTCCCCGGGGGGGGGGCCGGGGCCTGGGGGTCCCTGAGGGGACCGGGGGGGTCCTGGGGGGATTTGGGGGTCCCCGGAGGACTGAGGGGGCTTGGGGATGGGGGCTCGGGGTCCCGGAAAGGACCGGGAGGGTCCCGGGGGGTCCCGGGGGGGTCCCGGGTTTGGGGCCTGGGGGTCCCGGAGAGGACCGGGGGGTCCCGGGGCCGGGGCCTGGGCCTGGGGGGTGCTGGGGGGGATTCAGGGGGCTCTGGGAGGGCCCAGGGGGGTCCCAGGGCAGGGTCCTGGGGGTCTCGGAGCGGTCCCGGGGAGGGTTCGGGGGTCCTGGAGAGGACTGGGGGGGTCCCGGGGGTCCCGGGGCCGGGGCCTGGGGGTGCTGGGGGGGATTCAGGGGGCTCTGGGAGGGCCCAGGGGGGGTCCCAGGGCAGGGTCCTGGGGTCTCGGGGGGGTCCCGGGGGGGGGGTCCCGGTACCCCCCTGACCATACCGTTTCCCCCCCCCCACAGGGCTGTCCCGGTGCCGGGCCGTATGGCAGCGGGCCCGGAGCCCCCTACGGACACCCCCCGGTGGGGCCGCCCCCCCAGGTGAGTCCATCCACAGGGCCCCCCCCCCTGCTCCCCCCAGATCCCACCGGGACTCGGTGGGCGCTGACGGTGCCCCCCCAACCCCCCCACAGGCTGTGCCCCCCCCCCGGGCGTGGATCCCGAAGCCTTCGCCTGGTTCCAGGCCGTGGATGCGGACGGCAGCGGCCACATCTCGGTGCGGGAGCTGAAGCAGGCGCTGCTCAACTCCAACTGGACGGCGTTCGGCGACGACACCTGCCTGCTGATGATCAGTGAGCGGGAACTGGGAGCACTGGGAGCACTGGGAGAACTGGGAGAACTGGGAGCACCAGCACACAGCCCTGCTCCGCTCCTCACCACCCCTTTCCTTTCTTCTCTTCGTCCCTTTTCCTTCCTCGCTTTTCCTTCCTCCCTTTTCCTTCCTCCCTTTTCCTTCCTCCCTTTTCCTTCCTCCCTTTTCCTTCCTCCCTTTTCCTTCCTCCCTTTTCCTTCCTCCCTTTTCCTTCCTCCCATCTTTTTTCCCCCAGACACATTTGACAGGACCCGCTCCGGCCGCATCGACGTCTACGGTTTCTCAGCCCTGCTGCGCTTCATCCAGCAGTGGAGGAACCTCTTCCAGCAGTTCGACCGCGACGGCTCGGGCTCCATCAGCTTCAGCGAGCTGCAGCAAGGTGGGCGAGGGCCGGGGGGCACCGACCCCGGGCTCTGTGGGGTTTATTGCTCTGCCTGCTGCTGCTTTCCTGCCTGTCCCTAAAGCTCCTGGGTGTCCCCGAGCTCCCCGTGTCCCCTGCACGAGGCTGCAGAGCGAGGACCCGAGGAGGGGAGGATTTGGGGAGCTGCAGCCCAGCCCTGTTACAAACCCCAATTTTTAGGAAATCCCTTTCTCCTCTTGTTCCCCCAAAGGGCTGTGGCTAAGCCTTGCCCTGCGCTGGGAGGAGCCCTTGGGTGTGCGTGGCTAATGGGAGAGAAACATCCCTGGAATTTGGGCTTTGATTTGGTTCCTCCCACGGTGATCCTGGAGCGTGGTGGGGATGGGCGTGCATGAGCCGGGGCTGTCACCCTTTTTTTTTTTGGGGTTGGGGGGGTTTTAACCCGAGTCCTTCTCGCTCCCAGCCTTCTCCCAGCTGGGCTACAACCTCAGCCCCCAGTTCAGCCAGCTGCTGCTGGCCCGCTACGCCCCGAGGTCTCCCGAGCCCAGCATCCAGCTCGACCGCTTCATCCACATCTGCATGCAGCTGCAGAGCACCACCGAGGCTTTCCGCGAGAAGGACACGGCGCTGCTGGGCAACGTGCGCCTCAGCTACGAGGACTTCCTCACCATGGTGGTCACCCGCATGTTGTGACCCCCCCGGGACCCCCCCAGAGCCGTGCTGGTGCCTCCTGATCCCAATCCCTGCGGTGCCACCCCACGGTTCTGCTGCCAAGAGGTGTGACGGCCAAACCAGGAGCCAGCCCGTGCCATGCCTGCAGGGACCACCTGGATTTTCCCTTTCCAGACCCAAAATCCTGCGGGAAGCCAGGGCCAGCTCCTTGCCAACGTTTCCTAATTTTCTTTCTGCCCCTGGAAGCCGGGCGGGGGAGCGGTGCCAGCCTCGTTGTGCAGCTCTGGAATAAAGCACCCCACGCGCTGCGCTCCTGCCTGGGATGGTTGTGGGGTGCTGGCCCCCCCAAAAAAACACGGGGGGCCATGGATTTCCCATACCCACAGCCCTGGTGTTGCCCCAGGCAGGAGGAAAGTTGTGGGGCTGCCTGGGCTGTGAGGCACCGCTGTGGGACGCCTCCCTTCGCTTCCATAAAATTCATTCTTTACCTTTTTTGTCCTAATTTACGGCAAAAGCCGTGCCCTGCTGCCCTGCTGAGGCACAGCCAGAAAGCAGAGGTGAGCAGCACGAAGCCTTCCCCTGCTCCGGGACTGACATCCCTGCAATTTTGGGTTTAATTTCCCTTAATGGGAAGCAGCTCGGAGCGGGGTGTGAGGGCCGCGTTCCTTCCACATATTTAAAGGATTTTTTCTACAAAAAGGGAGATTTTCGAGCACCGTAAGCTCTGATTCCCTCAGAAGCACCGCCTGGGCTTCGGGATTTTTCTAACCCTCAGCCAAAGGTGTGGGGCTGCTGCAGTAACCACAGCTAATTCCCAAAATAGTTGGAGCCGGGCCCTTTCTGGCTTATTTTGGGAGGGGATTTTGGCTCCTGGGTGTTTTTATCCTGGGGGGGGGGGATGCAGGGCAGGATCCCACCACCAGGTGCCGCCCCACTCCACGCCGGGGGGGGACCAGAGGCAGGGCTGTGGGGTCGGAGCCAAACTGACTGCAAACCGAAACC